CAAGTTCAAAACTTGGTAGAGGAAGAGGAACCTTCTCCAACAGAGGGAGAGGCAGAAGCACCATTAGTATAAGTAGGGGTAAACAAGCTTCAAAATTTTGCACCTGCTGTGGAAAGACTAATCATACAGTTGAGGAGTGTTACTTTAAAGTCAGATTTCCACCAGGGTATCTATTCAGAAACTCAAGAAACAATGATGGCAATACCAACTCAGTTGCATGTTCAATGGGATTGTCTACTCATGTTGATCACAAGAACCTAAGTGGACAATTTACTCCCGAGCAATATCAAAACATCTTGGCACTAATCCAACAGTCTAACAAGTCTTCTACTCTAAGTGTACATGCTTCAAACATGGTTCAATCCTCAACCTATACTTCTGTTCTTGAAAATCCTCATACAACACCAACAGGTAATACATTTTGTCAGTGGCTACTTGATACGGGAGCCACTGATCACATCACCTTTCATCTCCCTTTTTACAAAGAATATCACAAAATAAATCCTATCTCTATTTTGTTACCAAATGGCTATACTATTTCTGCCATGTTTGCTGGAACTATTATTATTTCACTGACCCTAATATTGTATGATGTTTTGTATGTACCATATTTTAAGGTCAATCTTATATCTGTTACAAAATTGTTACAAACCATACCTTGCAGCTTGACTTTCACTGATACAACATGTTCTATTGTCCAGAAATTTACCAAGAAGATGATTGGTTTAGCTAATTTGAAGGATGGGCTGTTTGTGATAGTACTTGCAGAAAAACACCAACCTCAAGGCGATGAATCTTCCATCAAATATTGCTGCAGTAGTTCTGATAGTACTACCAATAGTAATATCTTATGCCATTATAGACTCGGACATGTGTCCAATTTTCAGTTTAAACTTTTGACTTTGAAATTTCCTTTCATCAAGTATAGTGAAGTATCACCATGTGATATATGTCATAGTGTTAGGCAAAGGAAATTGCCTTATAAGTTAAGTGAATCACATTCCAATGAAATTTTTGATTTGTTACATGCGGATATTTGGGAACCCTATGCCATCCCTTCTTTGTATGGTCACAAGTATTTTTTAACATTAGTGGATGAATTTTCTAGACATACTTGGGTTATATTAATGAAAACTAAAAGTGAAACTAGAGAACATATTAAACGTTTCATTTCCTATGTCGAAACTCAGTTCCAAACAAAACTTAAGACTCTAAGGGGTGATAATGGAGTTGAGTTTGCTATGGATGAGTTCTTTTCAAGTAAAGGGATCCTGCATAAGACTAGTTGTGTGGAGACACCCCAAAAAAATGGGGTGGTTGAAAGGAAAAACCAACATATTCTGAATGTAGCAAGAGCCTTAAATTTTCAGGCTAACTTACCCAAAAAAATTTGGAATTTCGCTATACAGCATGTTATTCATTTGATCAATTGGTTGCCAACTCCTTTGCTTGAAAACAGAACACCATATGAGCTACTATATAGCAAACCACCTCTCTTTATGCACCTTAAAGTTTTTGGTTGTTTGGCGTATGCATCCACCTTGGAAGCACATAGGACGAAATTTAATTCAAGAGCTAGAAAATCTGTGTTTATAGGATATAAAGAAGGGATAAAGGGTTATATTCTTTATGATTTACAATCCAAAGAAGTTTTTATTTCTAGGAATGTGATCTTTTATGAGACAAATTTTCCTTTTAATGATTCCAATAATTCTATGACAGATTCTTTATCACATGGTGTGATCACTAATTCACACCTGAGTCTAGATGCCATTGATTCTGAATTTGGTAACACATCACATCAATTACCATCAACTGAACTTTCTGATGCAGAACACACTACCATAGAACCACCCAATATAGAATCGCTTCCCCATTCAGAAGCCCCTCAAACAGAACATGCCCTTGCTACTGATTTGCAGCAATATTCAGAAAATGAGTTGAGACACTCCACTAAAGTGAGACGCCAGCCAACCTATCTCAAGGACCATCCTCTCAACCTATTCTCCAATGGCTTAACCAAGGCACCTTCTGGTAAAAATTCTCAGTGCACTACTCCTCATTCCATTTCTTTAGTGATTTCTTATAATAATTGTTCGATTTCCTTTCGAAATTATTGTCTTTCAACAAGTTCTTTACATGAACCAAAAGACTATAAAGAAGCATGTACACTAGATTGTTGGAAAAATGCCATGAATGCTGAATTAAAGGCTTTGGAAGAAAATAACACTTGGACTATTGTTGATCTTTCTTTAGGAAAACATCCCATTTGCTGTAAGTGGGTCTATAAAATCAAGTTTCATGCTGATGGTAAAGTAGAGAGGTATAAGGCAAGGCTAGTGGCAAAGGGGTATACTCAATTGGAGGGAGTGGATTATTTTGAAACTTTTTCTCCTGTTGCTAAAATGACTACAGTTAGAATTGTATTGGCTCTTATATGACTACAATTAGAATTGTATTAGCTCTTGCAGCTATTAATGGTTGGCATTTAGAACAATTGGATGTGAACAATGCATTTCTCCATGGAGATTTGCATGAAGAGGTGTACATGGAACTTCCCCCTGGACTCACATCTTCTCACCCAAACAAGGTGTGTAAACTCAATTAATCACTATATGGGTTAAAGCAAGCTAGTCGACAATGGTATTTCAAACTATCTGAAGCCCTTTTCTCTCTTGGTTTTTCTTAGTCTACAACAGATTATTCATTGTTTGTGAAGAAAACTAATGGCTCATTCACTGCGATTTTAGTCTATGTTGATGATCTTGTGTTGACAGGAAATGATATACATGTTATTTCTTCTGTAAAACAATTTCTGGATTCACAGTTAAAAATTAAAGATTTGGGGCACTTGAGATATTTCTTAGGACTTGAGATTGGCAGAAGCAAGAAAGGCATTGTTGTGAATCAGTGAAAATATACTTTGAAATTGTTGGCAGATTATGGATTGCTTGCAGCCAGAAGCACTCCCACTCCTATAGATCCTTCAACTAAGTTGTGTGCTGCTTATGGCAAACCTTATGATGATGTTACTGGTTATAGGCGTCTCATTGGAAAATTGTTATACTTAACCACAACAAGACCTGACATAGCTTTCGTTGTGCAACAACTCTCTCAGTTCATGTCAAAACCAATGGATTCACATATGAATGTTGCTCATAAGGTCTTGAGATACTTGAAGTCTGTACCTGCAAAAGGATTGTTCTTTTCTGCTGCATCTTCACTTAGAGTATCAGCTTTTGCAGACTCTGATTGGGCATCTTGTTTTGATAGTAGGCGTTCTGTGACTAGATATTGTGTTCTTCTTGGATCATCCTTGATCTCTTGGAAGTCAAAAAAATAGTCAACTGTTTCTCGTTCTTCTTCGGAGGCAGAGTACAGGGCACTTGCAGCCCTCACTTGTGAACTCTAATGGCTTTTTTTTTTCTCTTCAAGGATCTACATGTTTTTGTTGCTACCCCTGCCTCAATTTACTGTGATAATAGATCTACGATTTACATAGCCCGGAATCCCACATTTCATGAAAGGACTAAGCACATAGAAATTGATTGCCATGTTGTGCGGGAAAAATTGCAAGCAAGATTGTTCAATCTTCTACCAATTTCTTCTTCTGCACAACTAGCTGACATGTTCACCAAAGCCTTGCATTCACATCCCTTTCATACAAACATCAACAAGTTGGGCCTGCTTGACATAATGGCTCCAACTTGAGGGGGGATCTTGTAATTTGTTATTTCATATTTTACAGATTGTCTAGGCTAGCTGTCATGACTTGGTGCCTTATTCCTATTGATTGGCTCCAAGGATCATGGAATCTTTTTTTTTTTTTGCTGTCTTATTGTGCTTTTGTCCTGCTGTCCTATTGTCCCTTTTTTTCATTTTGGTTAGGATATTTTGGCTGAATTGATAGGGATCGATCCTTATCTTTTGAGTCCCTCCTTGTATATATACCTCTGATTATTCAATGAGAAAGTCAAGACAAATTATTAAACCAATCCTAAAATCTTTGGCCCCATTTGTTTCTCTTGTTAGCAATAAATACCTCCATGACTGTGTTTTAACTTTGGAGAATCCTCCAAAAGTCAACCTCGTTATGTGTTTCTAGAAATCTAGAGAAGAAAAAGTTTGTGATTTTTTCACCTCTATTGTCTCAACCAACTTCCACTCCCTTTCCACGACTCCCCCCTCTCATTATCCTTCTAAAGAGGTGTATTGATAAATTACATTAACTAGCAATTGTGTCTTACAAAACTAAAAGGAGAACTATCTTTATCCTAATATATTTTGGATTTTTTTTATAAATATTAATTTATATATAGTTATACTTATTTGTGTGCATTTTTCTTACAAAAGAGAAGAAAGATTAAAAAAAATGTACGAAGATGAATAATATGACAAAAAGAAATAAAAGATGTACGATAAGAAGAATAACATGACGAAAAGAAGTAAAACAATAAACTATAATATATAAATAATTAGTTTACAAAAAAAGATTTTTGTAAAATTAGTTTAGATTAAAATCTGATTTGAAGTGATGTAATTTATATTTAGATGTTGTTATTCTAAAAACAGGTTAATAATAATATTCATAATTTTTTATTTAATACAAAAGTTACTTAAATAAAAATAAATTTAATTCAAAATCAATTATAAACTCGTGATTAATTTTTCAAGATGAAACTAAATACATAATTATTTACTTAAAATTAGATTAAGTGATTTTTTAACGTGGTTATGGATGATCTATCTAATGTAAATAACATACTGTCAGATTTCAAACTTGTTAATATCAACAAAATGGTAAGAAAAGAAGCTAGTAACGTGCATGTTTTCTAAGATTTTTATTTTTAGTGTACTTTTTATTAATTAAAATTTATATAAGTCCAACAAATTTGAAATTTATTAAGTAGAGAATAAGAACTACGTATATAGTGAGACTGACGACATAAACATCACTCGACAAGAACTGTTAAAAACACATATGTTCATCATTTCTCCTAATAAGAGTTTCTTTGCACAAAACATGATTTGTTTTCTCAAATTCTCGTACACATTTATCTAACTCAATCTTGGCCGGAAAGATTTAAAATATACTATTAACAAAGAAACGAAAATGATATTTATATATATGTATATTGAAATTAACCTACTCCATGTGCTAGCTTAAATACAGTGAGCTAGCATAAAAATCATCCATCTAACTATATAATTAAATTCATCTTATAAACGATGCTTGAATTTCTTCCAATGTTCTGTCCTTGGTCTCGGGAACCCAAAGTGTCGCAAATCCAACAGTGATGGCGGAAAAAATGGCGTAAATTGTGAATGTTCCTGTTGCACAACCAGACTTTACTTTTAAGTAACATGCATGCATGCAATCGAATAAACAAAGTCATGCATGCATTGCAGGCTCATAAATATGTAGAGAGAGAGAGAGAGGACCTGCACTGCTCCAATTTAAAAGCAAATTTGAAGTCATGGTAATTACTGATGCAGTGAACCAATTCAAAAAGGTAGCTGCACTTCCAGCAAGCCCTTTAATATTTGGTGGAAGTATCTGAAACCCACATGATGATTCATCAATATCAGTTCAGTCCACCCTATATTTAATGGAACACGATCCTCTACAGTTGTCAGCTAGGTGATGCAGTTACATCTAAAATTTACAAACTTGTATCTTAATTTTACTATTATTTAATTTTCTATTATAAAAATAAATTAAATATTTTGGTTGGTGAAGATTTGGACAGTTGAAATTTCTAACTTTAGAGAATCCAATTCCATATGTAATACACATGTAGAAGTTGCTTAAATACTTACCATGATTCATCAATTTCAAAAATTAAAAAATAATTTATGGAATATATCTCTAGGGAGAGGGAAAGAAGAGAGAGAGAGAGAAAACTGTAAGTATAGAAACATAAGCAAAGGTGATGCTTCAAACGTTGTCTTCCATTTTGTTATCCTTTTCCATCTTTTCATTTTTGTCATTTTAATTCTCTTGCTTGATATATGTTGTGCACCATGTACATTATATTATTAAGTTTGTACAAGTTTCGCCTTCTACCTTTCTTTGTTTTTTTTCGTATTCTCTTCCTAATTTTGATTACAAATTAAAGAACCAAATCAATAAAGATGCGTACACCGAGATTTAATGTGAATGAACCATATCACTATATCAGCTTTGATAGATGATCAATTCGAGCGGTGGTTCTAAATGGCTGCACTATTTTAACATTGGGAGTTTGCAGTTCAATGGGTAAGTGGCTATATATAGGTACTTATATATGCGGTTCCAATGGTGGTTCTATGCTTGGGTTAAAAGTCACGAGGATTTCCAATAGTGGCTATGGTCACTTGTAGTCAATCATGATTTGGCAAAGATGTGTGGCCTAAGTGATTGTGATAGGATGGAGCTTATAAGGTCCAAATGAAAAAATATTAAGCAAATTAATAGGATATTAAAATATTATATAGTACATATTTTTAATTGTTTAAATAGATGATATTTATAAGATCATTCTAACTATTTGGCTATAAATTTTTTTTAAAAAAAAATTTGGAGGCATGAATTAAAACATCTCAGTCTTTATTTATTTATTTTTTTTGTACTTCAGATTTTAATATAGAAATATAGTTATAACTTTTTAGTTTTGAATCATTGTCATTCGAGCAGTTGATTTTCAGTTATGCTTTCTAGACAGTGATAAATATCTTTATGTAATTTAAAAACTAATTAAAATTGTTGAAAAATTTTTAATTCAGGAACCTTTTCTCACTTTGTTAATTTTAGAAACCAATTTATCGGGCTTTTATAATTTTAGGATTTAGGGTTTCCAATAATAATAATAATAATAATAATAATAATAATAATAATGATAAATAATAATAATAATAATAAGTATCTTGTCTTTTAATTCAAACAAAAGAGCTATTAAAGGAGTTTAGCTTATTTGGTTTAATAATGTGTATAAGTTGTTGTAAATTTTTTGGTATCGAGTTTGACTCTTAGATAATAAAGAGTAAAACACCAATACCAAGAGGTTTATAACAATTCACATACATTATTTGATCAAAAGCTATTGGTTGAATGTATACTAGTTTTTTCTTTTCCTTTTAAATGTCTTTTAAGGTATATTTAGTTTAAAAAGAAATAATAAGAAAGTTTAATAAATAAAAAAAAGATAAAGAAAAAATAGAAGAAAAAAAAGATAATTGTATTTGTTTGATGAGAAGAAACTGAAATTTTTTTGATTATATAGAAAAAGAAAGAATAGGAAAATAGTATATTAAATAACATAATACTTTATATAAAAATAATAATAATAAGCGATACATAAAATAAAATATTTGTGTCTCTTACTTTTATCTATATATATATATATATATATATATATATATATATATATGA